AGTTTTGCAAATGCAAAAAAAAACTAACAGATTTTCTTTTTCTCCGACTATCCACGTTTTATAAAAATTAACAAAATATGCATTGTGCATTACGTACATAAAAAATGTATATATATGTATGAATGTATGTTAGTATGAGTGTATATAGTGCATTTTTTTAACATATCACATATGTATCGCCAAAAACTTAATTACAATCCTACCAGGCTATAACCACATTAACGTTTATATGAATAATCAAATTCGGAAGATAAAAAAAAAAACACAAATACAACGCTATCGAATAAATTTCAAATTAGTATTTTTTGAGCAATAGTAGATAGTAATTATTCATAACCTCCTTGTATGGTTTTTTTCATAATTCAGCTTACAACTAACGTAATAGAGCATACGTTTTTATATTTTCGTAGAATATGTATGCGATTATAATTACAATATGCAATAATCTTGAAAATCTATATTTATTTTATATGCTACACTTCTATAGGATGAAATGATATGCCAAAAGGCCTGCTAAATTGGCATAAATTTTCAATTGCGACCAATGAGGATTTTTATGTATCTGGTTGCGCAGTCTAATAACATTTTGATCAATCTTCGATTTTAGTAAAGAGTTTCTTTCGGCACTCTTGCAGGCTTGATTTATCTAACGACACAAACCCCAGCGAGTTTTGTTCTAAATCCTCCAAATTAAGAAAGCTATTCGGTCCACTTAATATTGTTGGCGAAGATCGTACATCATTCAGATTTTCAATACCACCACAGTCATTTTCTACCGCTCTGTAAGAAAAAATAAATTAATTATTACTGACACTACTTTTACACAGTCGCAGATTATTTACTGAAAACTGATCTTGGTTAGATCTTTTCGTGAACGGAAACTGTGATTATTGTGATTTACAGGTGTTGAGTTCACTATTTTATTAGTCGCCGCAAATGTTATAGGTGTACTTTGTTGCGATAAATTAACACAATTCTCTCCACTCAAGAATTCGATGGGAGTATTTCGTGTGTTTCCTCCAGTAGGAGTTGATGCTATTAAACGCATAGAGATCTTCGGCGGGCGTTTATCTTTAATTTGTTGTGGCATAGGATATCCCAATTTTTTGCGTTCATTGCCTACAGAATCACGGTGTATATAAGTAGCGAAAACAGATGTGACGAAATTAAAAATTATTTGCTTCAAATTACAAAGCTTAGACCAAGCAGCTCTGCGTGATCGCCTTATCGTTTGCTTCTGCAAGAAATGTATTGTCAAATGACTGTGTGAAAAATATTAAGGTATATAAATATGAATATTATATTCACCATCATTATCACCAACTTCCAACGATTCCTACGCTCCATTAAGCTAACTAATTTTTTGTTGCTTAAAATATCATCGACTGTGGGTCGGTAGTCAGGATCCGGTGACATCATTTGCCTGATAAGGGTTTCCAGTTCTGGTGATATTGCTGGGTATGAGATTCGGTAATATGAAATAAAAACCTTATACATTTGTAATTATTCGACTGTTTTGCATACATTTCATAAAATCCTGTGGTAAAACTCCACTACGTAGCTGTTGCCACAGTGGTCCATTGTATGGTAACTCCAAGTAACAAGATAACTCAAGCATAGCTACACCCAAACTAAAAATATCCGCTGCTTTAGAAAACTTGCCCTGCAAAATTTCGGGCGCCATGTAACGAGAATCACCTTCAGTGGCTTGCTGACGGTTCGCCTATTAATAATATTAAATTAATTTCAATTAAAAATAAACTTAAACAAGTATATGAATAAAAATTTATTTTATACTCACTCTATCTACATCAATAACCAAACCGAAGTCGGCCAATTTACAACTGTCATCATCGCCTACTAGGACGTTATCTAACTTTATATCTAAATGTATAAGATTGCGGTCATGAAGGCTTTTTAATGCAAGCGCCAAATCCAAGAGAATATTCCAAATTTTTTCTTCAGGTATATGTCGATGTCGTACTAGGTACCTGTCTAAGCTTTCTCGACACAGTTCCATTTGCATAAACAAGCGTTCGTTTTGTTCCCACGCGCGATAGAATTGCACAAAATTAGCATGACCAGAGAATTGCTCATAACGACGCACTTCCTCTAGCCGCTCCTGGCGGTAATGTTCGCTACGATATAACTCCTTTGACATTTTCACCGCATACATGCGACCATCTTCGTTTGAACGCACTTTGAAGACTTCACCAAATGAACCTTCGCCAATTTTCGCCAAACAAGTGAAACATTGTTCAAAATATGTTTCATTCATTGAGGCATCATAAGAGCCGCTTAACGCATTGGTGTCCAATTCAGGAAGTGCATTGCCATTGCCATCGGATTCGCCACGGAATGAAATCGCATGCGCGGTTGTGGACATAGACGCGGACATATAGCTACGATTCGCCAACCTCAATTTTGGAGGACGAAGTCGATATTCCTGTAGTCCGTGGCCCTGCTTGTGTGAATGTTGAAATGTTACTTCAGCGCGAATATCCGGCACTGGTAGTAGAGGGAGTGGAAGCGCAGATTCGGTCGTCATATTCACGCAAATTACTGCAAAGAAAGTTGAAATTATTAACCAAAAATGTGTGGCGAAGGTGTGTACCTACGAACAGGCTAATTTATTTTAACTTAAACGTTTCTTTATGTTAATAGAGTATCTACACCGGTGCAATGAATCATAACTTACTTTTTAATACTTATTTTATAGTTTTTCTCTAAATAAAACACGAAAAAATACTAAAGAAAATAGATTTTCCACATGAAGAGCCGCAATAACAAAAGCAAAAACGCCGTTTTGAAAATTGAAAAAAATTGAGAAGGTTGCACACAATTCAGCTTTGTGTAATGTTAAAAACGATAAAGGGAAATTAATAAAAGAGTTGCCTACAACCATTTCTACTCGAAGTCTAAGTTTGTTATGCAGCGTTTTTGCTGCATTTAAAATGCAACATTTAGCACTTTCGAACATATGTTTTCGAAGAGCGTTCATGCTATCGCATTTAGCAAATGTACATTTACGGGAGTTCGAAATCGTATGCTTTTGACAAACAGCCGTGTTCCAGTCGCTTATTCAGATCCGTATCTATTACGATAAATTCTCACGGAAAAGATAATGTCCAAAAATCCCTACTGAAAAGGAAAAAAAATTCTAAACCGAAAATTCAATACAAAAACTTGAATTATTTTAACCATAACCAAACATTTGTTTGTNTAATTTTATTCATGCATACAATTTTCTTGAAAACCAAAATGTTTTGATACTCTCTTTAAAAAAAAAAGCCGTTCCCCGTTAATTATAAGAAAAATAAACAAATTGTCGAAATGGGAGATTTTTAAAAACAAGCTACACTGTTCGCAAAGTACACGTATCCGCTGTCAATTGATTGAAAAGCAAAACAATTATAAACATCTTGCACTATTCTCGTAAAGTTTGTTGAATGCAATAGTTTAAATCGCGCAGTGGACCGCTAATTAGTTATTGTATAAATCAGGCCTGTACATTCACTCAAAAGAGGAAGATTTTTTTTTTGTTGTAAAAATGCCGGTCTTCCGCTTATCGTTTTTGTTCTTTATTCTACTAAGCATATTCTTTCTATCCCATGCAATTCCAAAACCGGATGATGACCAAATAGATGATAGTGATGATACACTGCACAGTCCGTTGGACCATGATTCAGATGGCGATAAGCATTTCGAAGGAGGTCACCACAACAAACAGTACGACCACGAAGCTTTCTTGGGCGAAGATGAGGCAAAATCATTCGATCAGCTGCCACCGGAAGAGAGTAAACGTCGCTTGGGACTTATCGTCGATCGCATCGATGAGGATAAAGATGGTTTCGTAACACTTTCGGAGCTTAAGCGTTGGATAGAATATACACAACGTCGTTACATTGATGAAGATGTCGGCCGGATGTGGAAGATGCATAATCCTGATGGCAATAAAACTATCAGTTGGGAGGCGTACCGTGAAAATGTTTATGGATTTTTGGACACAATGAACAAAGAGGAAATCGAAAATGATGAACATAATATGTCTTTTAAACGTTTGCAAAAACGTGATCGCCGTCGTTGGGGTGTCGCTGACCTAGATTTGGATGATCAACTGACACGTGAAGAGTTTACCGCTTTCTTGCACCCGGAAGATCATCCAACTATGAAAGACATAGTATTAACCGAAACAATTGAAGACATTGATAGCGATAATGATGGTAAAATTTCTGTGGATGAATACATTGCGGACATGTACCGAAATTCAGAACCAAATGACGAAGAACCAGAATGGGTTAAAAGTGAGCGCGAAGGTTTCAGCAAATTTAGAGATTTAAATGGTGATGGATTCCTTGATCGCGAGGAAGTGCGCGCTTGGATAGTGCCGAAAGATTTCGATCATGCCGAAAGTGAAGCCAAGCATTTAGTATTCGAAGCGGATAATGATGGCGATGAGAAACTGACGAAAGATGAAGTCCTACAAAAATATGATGTATTCGTTGGCTCACAAGCGACAGATTTTGGCGAAGCGCTGGCGCGTCATGACGAGTTTTAGATAAAATAATTAAAAAATTACAATAATGCCGCAAGAACACAAACTAAAATGCATAAATACTAATATGCAGAATCTCTGTCTCGAATTGAAAGAACAAGTTATAACCAAATAGTTATATTTGATGTAGTACTAAAATAAGTTAATACATAATCGTTCACTTGCCTTTCTTAATTTTTAATAATTCTAACATAAACTACGTAAAACTTCGGAATATGCGGCGTTGTAGCGGCAGTTTCAGAAATTTAGTAGACGAAATTAGCTTCGCTACTACATGTTACTTATGTGTGCCAAAAAAACTCATTAGATGTATGTATAATAATTTCTACTAATCTTTTCTATATTTGATATGTACCATTAAACTCATTGTAGAGCCACACATGTGTGTATGTACATAATATATTATGTATGTACATATTATGTATGTCATTACATATAAAACTGTTACCGTACATGTAGCGATTATTAAAAAATCGAATGAGTGCAATGTTTAAAATTACCAAAATTGTTGAATACAATGCACTTGTAATAAAAGTCAGAAATATATGTAAATTGTAATCACTTGTTTGATTCGACGCATAGCTTTGCGACTATCAATCGCTATCTATCCCTTTACTTTGTTCCTCATAGGTCAGCAACTTTCTTGGTCTGTGTCGCTTCCTATATTCTGAAAAATATCATTTTTAATTCTTCCATACACATATATGTACATATATACATTTGTACATAAATTTATGAAATATGGCCACGCATACAGTTCCAGAACAATCAACCAGTCCAACGCGATGGGCTCTGTGGCATTGAGATAAGCGAATGTGTCTCAAATTATTTAGCATTCGAAGGCATGTATGTTGGTATGTATGTACAATGTACATACATATGCATGTGTTTATATGATCTTATAAGTTTTGGCACATATACCGTGTACAAATCTTATAATTGTATATTAAATTGGACTGCAGCATTAAAACAATGATGGAATCACAGTAAAATAAGAAGGCGTTTCTTTTTTGTTCACAAACGCATATGAATGTTTGCATCCAAATGAACGAAAGTACATATGTGTATGCACATGAGTATGTATATAGATTTTATGCATCCACTCTATCGGGTGTGCAATGTGTAGNCATATGCATGGACATGAGTATGTATGTATATAGATTTTATGCATCCACTCTATCGGGTGTGCAATGTGTAGAAGGTATCTACTTACATATGTACACTGTACACCATAAGCATACATTTTTATTAAATTTTTTGTTTACTTATCACTACGTAAAAGTTATTTTTAGATTTTCAACTTGCATGAATTGGTTTGTATTGAATGAGTTTGCGGAGACATCTGTTCAGCCGATCTTGTTGATATTGGATGTAACATGTCACATGATTTAAGCTGTTACCTGATTTCCAACAGAATGTTATATAAATAGAAAGTGAATTATAAACGCCACTTATTGAGGAGAACAAATAGGGATATGCAGAAATTTAAATGACATAGGAATATGCTATACTAAAATTTTACGCAGATATTTCGTAGTTTAGAAGAATGTCCAGTATTCATAATTGCAACTACCGCTTCTTTTATTAACTTTGCTTACTATGTATTTGTTATTTTTGAAAATATACATATGTATGTAAATTAAACATAGTTCCTCGTTTCTTTGCAAATTACTTTATTATTATTTTTTCAGAGACACACATTCAGTTAGTTCCTATTAATTCCATCAATATGTAATGAAATTAATGTCAATTAATCCTTTGGAGTAGTCATAAAAAGTATATCTGCATGAATGGAGCTTTTGTGAACATGAATGTATGGTTCGTACATACTTAAAATTATGTCCATACTATATCCAATACATATCTATTGTGCCTTTAGTACATGTAAAGAAATTATTATTTAAACGTATGTATTACAAATCGTACTTTAACAAGGAAATTTAGTCACTTGTGATTTTTTAGATTTTCGCTTAGCATTGCATGATTTTTAGGTAATCTTACAATTACAATACGTTATACATACAATTTGCAAACATTTAATTATGTAGTTTTGTATTACGTATGTATGTATGTATGGATGTGTGTATGGCAATTTTATTAATGAATTTCGATGGCGTTTTCTTGTCTACAAAAAGTGTTGTCTTCTCAATGCCCTCTTCTTACTGTTTGTGCCAAGTGCGCAATGAGAAGGTAACATTTTTCGATAGAAAGGGAAACGCCAATAGTTAATTTTTGGTAAGATGGCTAACATTTGGTTTACAGCAACTACAAGTAGATAATATTTTGCATTCCTATCTTCTATATGAACTGTTCGAACACGATTCTACGTTCAATTTAATTGAATATTAAGTTTTTTTTTTGTTTGAATCATTTTCCACTCAATTGCAATTTGCTTTGATTTTGAATGTGGTTTAGTTATTTTAATAATAAAAAAGCACTTTTTTATTTATGATGTTATAATTGGTTGCATCGTTTATAGCCATTATTTTAATTTTTAAATAGACATCAAAACTTTTAGTTTTAAATTAATGCACAATGGAACATTTACAAGAAAACATAATGTAATTATATCAATTCATTAAACAATTTAAGTTGTACATAATTAGCCAAAGTATGTATGTATGTGCGTACATTGCTATTGTTGTCAATAGTACTCAATGCGCTTGGCTATTCAACTCGCATATGTAAATATAGGGCAGAGTGAAATTAATGCAATTAGTCATTCCCGCTGATAGTGTAGCGTTGCAAATGTAGATATACATAGATACATATGGAGTAAGGTGTAAAATAAATGGTACCAACTTGAATTGTTATACAAGAACAATTAACTGTGAATCTTTCTCTAGATTAGCGTAGAAATTTCATAGACGATAATGACATGACTACATTTAACATCAAATATGATTCCTATGATTATTTTTCGCTATCGACTAACCACAGCATTTTCGAGTGCGTCGTATAGAAAGTTATTTTAGTTATTTTCAAACGATTTTTTATTTTTCTGGTTAGTTTTGATTTCTCTCTTCGGTTCCGATTTTATTGTTTGCAAGCGATGGGCGTTTTCCCGTTTAGGCTTTAATTGTATTGCCTTCCGCTTGGATCGTGACGCCTACTTGTTGACGCACGGCTTGAACTAGCGGCAAATTAGAGTAACGTACATTTACGTTTAGACTTGGGCTGCAGCACTGGACAAAGAACGGAGCGTATGGCTTCATCGAATACTGTCTTCAGACCTTTTTGCGTAAGTGCCGAGCACTCCAAGTACTTAACAGCACCAATTTCTTTAGCCATAGACAATCCTTGTGGATAAGTTATTGGAGCTAATTTCTTGTCTCGTAGCTTTTCGATCGTATTTTTATCATCACGCAAATCCAATTTCGTTCCGACTAATATGATGGGCGTGTTTGGACAATGATGACGCACTTCTGGATACCACTTGGCGCGTACATTCTCAAATGACGCTGGATTCACCAACGAAAAGCAGATAAGGAATACATCCGTTTGCGGGTACGATAACGGGCGTAGGCGATCATAGTCCTCTTGTCCGGCTGTATCCCATAGGCCGAGATTAATGGGCTTCGCATCAACCATAACATTTGCGGAATAATTGTCGAACACAGTAGGTATATACTCGCCGGGAAAGGCATTCGTTGTGTAGCTGATAAGCAAGCAGGTCTTACCAACTGCACCATCGCCTACCACGACGCACTTAATCGCTTGCATGTTGATAGTGGCGGCGTACTAAAGATTACTATACCACTTGAAATCGATCTGTAAATAAGCTGCACGGGACGAACAAGCTATATATATATATATCTAAATGCTATTTTATGTGCGAATTATTTATCTTTTCAACAAACACTTAACTATTTGCTGTAAATTTTCCTCTTTGTGGTGCGATTGTGCGTTTTGTTCACTTTTCCGCAAATTTTCCTCCAATTANACTATACCACTTGAAATCGATCTGTATATAAGCTGCACGGGACGAACAAGCTATATATATATGTATATCTAAATGCTATTTTATGTGCGAATTATTTATCTTTTCAACAAACACTTAACTATTTGCTGTAAATTTTCCTCTTTGTGGTGCGATTGTGCGTTTTGTTCACTTTTCCGCAAATTTTCCTCCAATTATGAGTTTATGTAGTGAAGTATGCGTTCAGTCAAGGCGAATTTATATAAGGTGGTGTTGTTTCATCAGCTGTGAGAAGCGTTTGATTGTCAAAATTTTAAATTTCGTTCGTGAGTGAGTGAANACTTAACTATTTGCTGTAAATTTTCCTCTTTGTGGTGCGATTGTGCGTTTTGTTCACTTTTCCGCAAATTTTCCTCCAATTACGAGTTTATGTAGTGAAGTATGCGTTCAGTAATGCATTCTGCCCAAAGGTGTGTTCAGCGTGACAAGTATTTAGCTGTCAGTAGACGGTAATNGTTCAGTAATGCATTCTGTCCAAAGGTGTGTTCAGCGTGACAAGTATTTAGCTGTCAGTAGACGGTAATAAAAGAAAGCATCAAAATATCGGAAATATTAACCATTTCAAATTTTGTTTAGTTTCAATCCCATCCATGGTATAATTTCTCCAAGACCGATATTTACATAATATTTGATTTCTTTAAATTATATCGAATTAAAGTTGTTTAAAAATTGTTCCAAAGAAATTGTAAACAAAGTTCGCAACAAAATGAAATGAGCTGAAATCCTATCCCTCCATCCCTCAATCCTATCCATGATATAATCTCACCATGACCGATATTTAGAAGATACTTAATTTCTTTAAATTATATCGAATTAAAGTTGTTTAAAAATTGTTGCAAAGAAATTGTAAATAAAGTTCGCATCAAAATGAAAAGAGCTGAAACCCTGTCTGAGGCACGTGTTTTCACCCTGTACCTCCGGTATTGCATTTCGCATTCCAAAGAATTTAAAATCAGAACTTCTATTGATTGGGTGGCAGCACCGCAAACAGCTGAAGAGCGAATGAACCATAAAGCAACGGGTGGATTAGCCAATCTAATTGCTACGTTTCGTTTTGCTATTTATTGTTTATACGTGTTTTTTGCAGAATATGGCTACTAAACTAAACGTAAATATTAGAACTCTTCTGACCAATTGCGAGGAGCTAGCTAAAGATGAAGCCAACTACTGGAGGCTTAAAAAGTTCATAAAATCACTGGACACTATGATAGAAGAACTTAAGGGATGCGACGAGTCAGTACCCTGTTCGTGTGTTCATGCGTACCAGAAGTTTATTTTTGTTTTACATTTATTTATAGCATCGGTAGTAATCTGAAAGTACCAGACTACACAAAACGACTTAATGATCTCAAAGCCCTTACCAACTATATAGACAGCCCACCGCCAGTTAAGAGCTTGCGTTCAAAGCTACGCCCGGCATATGAAATTGGTGATGATGCCCTGAAAGAAGTGCAGCAACTACAAAGCTCCAAACACCATGCAGATTTAAGAAAGGATTTATTGGGAGGTATGGATTGTATTGTAAATGTTAGAAGGTTTTTTCTAATAATACCTTTATGTAGACGATACACTGCGCCGACGTAAACCGGATGATAGTGCAACCAGCGCGGAAAATATGGGCGAAGCCGTTAAATATTATAGCGAGGCACAAGAAAAAATTACCGAGCATATGCTTTCGCTTACGCGGAATTTAAAGGAGCAGACCGAGACCGCAAATCGGATAATTAAAAGGGATACTGAAATCGTGTCAAAGTCTACAAATATGGCCGATCGCAATATTAATTCCTTAAATAAAGAAACAGAAAAATTAGAGGAACACTCTCGCAACCGCTGTATTTGTTGGTATGTAAAAAAACAACAAGATTTATCATTCATTAACTCCAGTTGTTTTTATAATTTCAGGAATGGTATTGTTTATGAAAATTATGAAAAAGAGGAAAGTTTAAACTGAAAGTTTAAAAGTACTTGCGAATAAATATCTACAATTTTTTATATTTCATAAATAGCAAAACAAAATGATGTTAAACAATATGATATCAAATATTTGCAAATTTAATTTTAAAAACTATTTGTAAATTTAAAGTTTTTGAATAAACATTCCCAAACAAATTTCCTTAAAATCTACGTATTCGCAGAGTTGCATGCCGATGAGAACACTTGTAATATATTTTAGTGCTCGCGAAACAAGTCTATTCAAATGTCAAGTTGACAACTGTCATTGATCAAGCAGTATTGCCAATTACACGTCTCTTTCTTTTTCCGGTCGCCAGAATGGTAAGACCTGAAGAAATGTTATTCCATATAAATTAATTTCGAAACATCAGTGAATAATCTCAATTTTCATCAATATTCGCTATGCTAGAAAGTTGTGAAACACAATAGTGAACCAATTGTAATGAATATCTTTTTCTACAACCATTTCAGGGTATTGATATCAGCCATAAATACGATCGCAAAGTTCGCAGAACTGAGCCTAAATCTCAGGATGTTTACTTGCGTCTTCTTGTCAAGGTAAGTGGTTTCCAATTGGTAGACAGGAACAATATTGTGCCGTGTGAAAATGCAAATGTTGTTTGAGGTGTCCGAAATTATTAGCAGCTAACATTTCTCTGGCTTGTACAATATTTTAGTGCGTCGTCAATCTTGTCTACCGCTTGTATGTGCTAATGTGTGTTTTATTATTATTAATTGCGTTTTTTTTTCTTTCTTACAGTTGTACCGCTTCCTACAGCGTCGTACCAACAAAAAGTTTAATCGCATCGTCTTGAAGCGTCTGTTCATGAGCAAAACTAACCGCCCGCCAATGTCTTTGCAGCGTGTCAGCCGTTTCTTCAAGACAGCCGCTCAACCAGAAGCCACAGTTGTTGTTGTCGGTAGCATTACCAATGACATTCGTCTGTTGAAAGTACCCAAGATGACTGTTTGCGCTTTACATGTTACACAGACAGCTCGCGAGCGCATCATCAAGGCTGGTGGCAAAGTGTTGACTTTCGATCAATTGGCACTTAAATCGCCTACTGGCAAAAATACCTTATTGTTGCAGGGAAAACGTACTGCACGAACAGCCTGCAAGCACTTCGGCAAGGCGCCTGGTGTGCCACATTCGCACACCCGCCCATACGTGCGATCAAAGGGTCGCAAATTTGAACGTGCTCGTGGTCGTCGTTCCAGCTGCGGTTACAAGAAGTAAACACTCAAGCTTAGTACGTTTATGCGTTTGTAATATTATATTGTGGGTAATCACGAATTTCGTATTTGTGACTATTGATTTTTGCTGCATAGTGCACGACAGCCGCACAACATGTTTATGCAAATAAAAGATGCAATTACTTATAATTTTTTCCAAAGTACAAAATGCGTGTAGTGTTCTTCTTATATGTTACTAGTTTAGTTACTTCTACCTTATTGATAGAAAGTTTACTAAAAAATTTCTAAATTCTTGAGTGAAACTGCAATCTGCGACAAATATTTCCAGTACATAATGGGTTGTTGCAATTAGTCTTCAACGTAGTAAAATAATGCGCTCTAGAAGGGTTTTCTATGTTCTTTGGTATGATCTTTATTAATACATTTAGATCCGATTTGCATGTTTAGCATTCCCAGTGATGTTCATGATTCCATTTTCAAGTTACGATGGTCGGCTCTGCGGCACCAGATGAAGCACACCCCCAAACATTAAATGATTTGGGCAATTATATTACATATTGGAAATTATATTACAGACGGCAACTGGCAATTGAAACCTGGCAACTGAATTTTTGTGGTTGACGCGGAAATTTTGATTGTAAAAATTTAGTTCTTTTTAAACGGTTTCGCGGTTTATTTACAATCAAATCTTGGTTGGTGGTACCTGAAACTTCGAATATCATCAAATTTGTAGCCCATCGGCAACCCAACTGAGGTTGCGTTGCTATCCATAATCGACCCTTTATCTTGCTGGAATTGTTCTATTGAAGGCAATTGAAACACTGAAATACTGCAATAGATATATATAT